TAATCATATCAAATATATTGTTTACCATTCATTATTAAATTTCAAATGCTTATGTAATGCAAAAAAAGGTTCTTTCGTATATTTTAGTATTTCGATCAAAATATTGCTTTAAAAATAAAAATTCTACTTATGCAATCTGAATTCTACTTGTAATTTATTTCTGTATGTATTTCTATATGTTCATTTTTGCAATGAATAAACAACTATATAGCTCATAAAACGAAAATTGTAAAGTCCCATAGATGATGAACATGAAATGAAAAACCAATAGAATAATATGAGAGAAAGGGAAAAATTCATCATACATACGGATGAAAAGAAAAAAAAACCATATTGAAACTTAATCATAAAGAGAAAGAAAATAGTGGAAGTGTAGTATAGCACAGAAAAAACTGATAAAAGTACCCAAAAACTGCAGAAGGTTGCACTATTTCATTGCTATTTTTGTTTTCGTATTTCATTGTTTTTCACCATTTGATTACCGATGACCCAATACATGCGTCATGAAATTAACCATCGATTGAAACTAATGTAATCCTTTATAATCGGCATTTGTTAGATGCATTTTAGTAAATACCAACGTCGAGCAACAGAATCTTTCTACATCATCATTTTGTTATGGTCCATGCTAAACTTTTGCATTAAGAAACACAAATGTGCATGGTGTACAATCACTTTATTTGAAGCATGCTCATTTTTTCTTAATAATCTAAGCATTAATAAAATTCTCATTGTAAATAAAATTATGGTAGACTTTCGATCGAAATGGTAAGATGTTTTTTCATATTTGTAGCCTAACAATTTACCATATATAGCGTTCTTAAAGTTATGAATTGCTTTTTTGAATCTATTGCAGATTTTGATTAGTTTCGACTCCAAAAACGTTTTTCAGACAATATGAACATAATTTTCATTTATTAGTTTTATACTTTTTGACCAGAAAAAGAATTAAGTATTGAAAATATCTGTTTGAATAGATCGAGTTTTACAGAATACACATAAAATAAATTAATTTCTATGATGAATAAAACTAGGAAGTAAAATTTGATAGTTCTACTGTAATCATTCATCATTCTAGTAGTCAATCAAAGAAAGAAATTAATTATTCAATAATTATAACTATATCATTCATATAAAGTTATATCGCAAAAAGATTGATCTACACGACTTTTTAATTTGAAATGAATGTAAATAATAGTATAAGAAATTTATGCATTTTGTTAAAAAATAAAAAAAAACATTAAATTATTGGTAGAAGAAGAGAGGAAAGAAAAGTGTCCAAATAAACATTTTTCATCGCCTTTTCTCTGTTCTGTATTTTTTTTCTTCAATGACTCTTCTATTTTATGCAATTGTTTTGCAACAAGCATCTTTTGTTCACTGCTTTCTTCTGAAGTTTTTTCGTTAATTGAAGAATATGAAACAGAGAAGATTGTATTTGTTATTGGTCAATTTGAATAGTGTGTCATACGATGAAAGTGTGCTGTATCTGAAGGACATTGACAATATTCGAATCAAATTGAAGGTCTCTTTGTCAAACTATCAAATAAAAATATGAACTACGTATGGCATAATTTGACCGAGTTACTCGAATTACAGTGTATATATCGTGTCGAAGTTGCACCGGTCGACGAAGTTATAACTTCGTCGACCGATGCAATTTCGATACGACATATACACTGTAATTCGAGTTGAAGATGTCTAATGTGCCTGAGATACAATACACACTTCCATTATTAGATTCTTTCATACTAACATTGACAAGTAATGATTAATGGAAACATATGCTGTTAGCAAGTTTTTCTTGACCATGTTGTGGCATTAAATGATAATCTATTCATTTCTACAAATGTAAATATAAACAAAAGTGTACCATGATGCAAGTAGTTCACTATACATGAGATTTACTCTTTAATGAATGAATTATTAATGAATTTATGAAGATCACTGATAATGGACTCGATTTCTATATAGCAAGCTGTGATACAACCCAACTTTCATTTTCACGAATTCTATATGCTAGGATCAATGACCATGCTTCACTTTGATGTGCCAATGAAAGAAGCACGACTTATTCATTGTAACCCATCATTAAGACAAGTTGCAAGTATTATCAATCTTATTTGCCAGTAATTTTTTAGAAATAATACATAGTATGATGCTGTTCAGTCAACATTTCTCATGTCACTTCTTCACATTGACTCCAGTGTTGTAAATATGCGTTACTGTCCCTCTCCTCATCCTTTTAAAGAAATGCATATAACCTATGTGCCAACAAATATTAATGTGAACAAAGCGACAATCGATCGAACGACCAAAAGTTGCAAAGGAGCATTGGTCCCATGCTTGACATAGGCATGGTTTCCATTTCACTTCCCACCAACGTCTATGTGCAGACATGTGATTCAATCACATACAGTGTCATTCGAGGATGAAAGTGGCATGCGAAAAATAAAGATTTCATCCCATTTAATGGACTCTTAGATAATCTCTCTGGTAAACGGTAATTGACTTTTGATATTCATATGTTGAATTTATCGAAATGTCACGAAAACACAACAGCTACATTTATTGTTGAATAGCAAAAACCGTAGCAAATATTTATACTCATATCTAATGTTTCTTGTCCTTGAAAAGATTCCTAGTTATTTTCTGAATCTTTCTAAGTTATATCTGCTTACTGCTCAGCAAATCAATTTGTCAATTTTTTTTAGCATCCTAACTCATTCTGTACTGCGATTAATTGTCTTTCAACTAATTTCTATAGACCCTTTAATGTCGCGCTTTTTTATGTTACTACTTCAAAAAGTATAATATAAATCACTGAAATCGCAGATGTCAACAATGAATATTGCTGTGCATCGATTGCTAGTATTCTATATGGAGCTCTTTGAAGTATTCTATTGCTTATATATAATGAAAGAAATGATGATGTACATTTCGTAATACAACAAATAGATTGTGCAATTCATTGACCTCACAACATGATTGAATAGATTCTAAATATAAATAACCAGAGAAAGACAAAATATATTTATTGCATTGCTTAAATATCTTATATAACTTCGGTTACATATATATGATTTTCAAAATCTTTATAATTTTCTTTTTAATTGCAGATTATCAATAAATATATTATTTTAGATTAATGGCTCAACTACAATTCGATAGACGTGAAAGTACGATGTTGGGTCATGCTTTTACTGATAATTTTCAAGCATTGACTGATATGGCTCTTGAACTTAGTAGAAGCTTACAAACATGTAGAAAGTTCGATGGAAGTCATGTCATGTGACATTATCTATTTGTATATCATCAATCACCACGTAGGTGGGGTAAAATAACCAAGACAGTTTATGAAGAACTCAAAAGTCATATAAAAAATAAATCAACTAATTTTAAAAGGAAAGATTTTGAATTTCCAATAAAAGAAATCTACAATGCGTCACGTACTGTTCATGAAAACAGACATGGATTTTCAAGTGGATGCAATCCTGCTCAACGTTCTTTTCCACTTGCTTTATGTCCATGGATTGATGACAACAATCTTTTTCATGTATCATGTGATGAAGCACGTCTTACACACTTTAGTACTACAGCTGGACAAGTATCTGGTTTAACTAATTTGATCTGTAGACGTTTAATCAATGGCGATGAATGGAATGATGCTATAAAAAATGCTTTTTTAATTGCTCCAGATCTGTTGGGTGAAATTCGAGAAATTCAAGAACGATATAAACATGATGATATTCTTAATGATACTCTTAATCTTTCTTCACCATATGTATATGCACCAAATACTTTACATACTGCTCTATATTGTATTACAAAGGCTAACTCATTTAAAAATGCACTGGAGAATGTACATAAACTTGATATATATCATTCTCCAATTCTAGTCGGTATATTAACTGGTGCTCGATGGGATGTGCCAAAACAAATGTTACGTGATAGTCCTGAGGATAAAATAAAAGAGATACAAAAAATAGCAGCAAAGTTTTCCGAACATTGAAAATTGTAGAAGCTTTTTTAAACGTTTGTTTTAAGAGCCATTTCACTTAAGCGAAGAACTATCGTGCTCAATCGACTTTTTTGAATTTCAATTTTAGTTACATATATTAAGAGTACGTCAATTACTGAGTTTTTTTGTCACCAACCGCACTTCGATTGCTCATATCGTTATTGAGACATTCAATTTTTTAACGTGACATTTTTCTCTCAACTGACGATGTTAATTCCACCGATATCCACTGAAAAGCGTGCCAATTTTGATTCACACAATGCAGAATCATGACACTTTCACCATAGATACATGTTGAGTTGCTCTACAAAATAGGACTATCCCGAGTTCTAAATGTTGCTCTATGACTGAGTTATAGGTGTCGCTAGTAGTGAGAATTTGTCCGCCTATATCTTTGGTGTAATCAGCTATCTAAGACTGAAACTTTTATAGTACATACTCGACCTGTAGTACTTTATAACGCTGAAAAGAAAACTTTGGGTTATCAAGCACTATTTGAGTTATGGAACTTTTACGAAAATTTAATGCATTTTCAGCAGGATTTTACAGATTTTCGTCGTATTTTTGTAACGAGAACTAAAAAATAATGTCATACTCAGAATCAGCATGAAAAACTAAATCGAATGACATATAATCTGTGAGAAAAACTTTTTCATCCAAAAATTGCCCGTACACCTCCTCAGTTGCTTTTTATAAAATTTTAGCCTGTGATACCCCTCAAGTGAATTTTCGATGAAAAAGTTTTTCTTACAAACTCTATGTTATTCGATTCAGTTTTTTATGCTGATTCTGAATATGACGTTGCTTTTAGTTCTCGTTACAAAAATACGACAAAACTCTGTAAAAACTTGTTGAAAATGCAGTAAATTTTCGTAAAAGTTCCATAACTCAAATAGTGCTTGATAACCCAAAGTTTTCTTTTCAGCGTTATAAAGTACTACAGGTCGGGGGGGGGGGGGGTAAAATTATCGATCATACTGCAGATATTCGAGAACAAAAAGAGTTCGATGAACTGTGCGAAATTGATGTGTATTGGTCATTCGCTCAAAAATAGGCTGTTAGATTTGATTGTTTTTAATAATCAATTCTTGCTTTGAATGACCTATAATAACGGTGGTTTCAATCCAATTAAACTCAAGAATTTATAAAATATCACAGTGCGATCTCTTCTACGTCGCTTGTTATGTAAAACTTTAATTCGATTGAAGATGTAGATGAGTGTGAGTAAACAAAAGAGAAACATCTGCATCTATCTTATCTTCTTGACATAGATTTTTTTGTTGCTCTATTCAGTGTCTTGGAATGTTTTAATTTCAAGGATCCAATTGAAAGAATAAGATTAGCAGCATAAAATTCTTTCTGTAATTATTCAAGTGAACGATTTCTAGCACAAACATCACGAAATTGTGAATGATTTTCATCAATACCGCCTTTAACCTTAGATGTTACATATACTGTTAATTGAGTATGCTCAATAAAATATATAAATGTTTTCATTAAATCATGTCGAATAGCCCGTCTAAATCGAAAAGAAAGAAAAAAAAGTAAATTTTAACACAAGGATTAATTATTATTTTAGGCATCAGCAATAACAACTAATTTTGGAGATCTTTCAACAACATTAAAAATAGCTTTCATAGCTGCTTCATGATCAAACTTCAATCAAAATAGTAACTATTCGTTGTTCAGTTGATAAAGATGTACATGTGCGTCTTCATATTCAAGCCCACAGTGATATCACCTTCATTCACCCCATTTCTTTCATTCGATCTGCAAAATCTCTACTTCTATAAAAATCGATGTATATTATATATATTCTGTAATACTATTAGATCCTACAATTACTTTGTTTTCTTCTTGTTCATGTCGAATTCATTTTTCTCGCACTCTTCTTCTTCATCATATTATCATACTTTTATTTCACGAAATCAATGTTTTAGGTAGAAGAAAAAATAAATAATGAAAT